CGCAATGGACCGCAGGAACTCACTCCCGAACTTAGCCGTGAACTGGACCCCTCTGTGAGAATTCTTCGAGGTACTTCATACAGGTGGTAGATGTGCTTCAGGAACAGTTTGGCCAGCTGATGAGCTGAGGGTAGTCCGCTGCAGGGTATGAAGTGTGCCTGTTTGGAGAACAGGTCTATTACAGTCCAAATAACCGTTTCCTCCCCACTTTTTGGCAACTCTTACTATAAAGTCCATTGCGATCTCCTCCCACAGCCTTGTTGGCTCTTTTACTGGTTGCAGTAGTCCGGGGGAGGGGGGGGGGTCCCGGTGGTCTTGTCATTGTGGCGCAGATGGTGCAACTTTTCACGTAACTGTCTGTTCTTTCATGTAACATTGCTCCATGGAACTCCCCAGGGGCTCCATCAGGGGCTTTGGGAGCCTGGCTTGGTTCCAGTCCAGCATCCACTCCACTCTTCCTAGCTTGCTCAGGGCCCTTCTCTTTTTCTGGGCATTGGGGTGGGAGAGCTCAACTTTAGCTGCTTTAGGTGTTCAATACTCATCTCCTCTTGCTTCGGCCGCTGGATCAGGCATCTCGGCTTTGATGTCTGAGGTCAGGCTGCACTACGGCTGCAATGAGGCTCTCTTCAGATAGCTGGCCCTCTGCCATAGTTGCCTGAATTTCCCTCCAGGCACCCCAAATATCGGGGAGCGATTGGAGAATCCAGGATTCAGGAGAGCTGGTAAACTTGATAGATTTTAAAAGGAGATCTGACTTTCTTTCCACCTTCTCTCTCATTTATTTCCCTCTCTCTCATTTTCTCCCTACATCATTTTCCCATTTCTCTTTTTCTCCCCTTTTCTCTCTCATTTCTCTCTCTCTCCCTCTCATTTGTTTTTTTCTTTTTCCTCTCTTTTCCTTTCTCTTCCTTCTCTCATTTGTTTCCATCTCTTCTCCCTCTGTCATTCTCTCCCCCCAGCGCTCTCATTTTTCTATCCCTCTCCCCTTCTCTCTCTCTTTCTCTTTCCTCTCTCTCTCATTCTCTCCCTCCAGCTCTCTCATTTCTCTCTTTCTTTTTCTCCCCTTTTCTCTCTCTCATTTCTCTTTCCTTCTCATTTGTTTTTTTTTCCTTTCCCTCTCCTTTCTCTCATTCTCTCCCCCCAGCTCTCTCTCATTTCTCTGTCCCTCTCCCTCTCTCTCATTTGTTTCCCTCTCACGAAGGGGACTGTGTCCTTTGTGGGCAGCTCAGCATCCGCCACGATCCCCTTTGTGTCGGCTCAGGAAGGGAGGAGCAGCCACCACTGCCGCCAAATGCAGGAAGGGAAGAGCTCTGGCTCTTCCTGCACAACGCAGCCAGCTACTCTGAGCACACAGTGGCAGCAGCGGGAGGAGTCGCCGCCATTGCTGCCACGTGGTCCCAGCCCAGGAGGGTATCCTCCTTGTGTGTGTGTGTGTGTGTGTGTGTGTGAGTGAGAGAGAGAGAGAGAGATAAAGCCCCTTTCTCATCTCTCCCCTCCCCCCTTGTGTGGCGGGAGGCAAGGGCTGCCTTGAGTGCAAATGTGTCACGAAGGCAGGTACAGGGCCATTTTGCTCCTGCACTAAGCCTCCAGCCATCGCCTTGTCGTGCCCCCCCCCCTGCGCGCAGCTCTTCCCAGCGGGCACAAGCTACAGCCCGAAGCGGCGGGAGGCGAGGACTGCCTTGAGCACAAATGTGCCGCTTCGCTCCTGCACTAAGGCTCCAGTGACCCTCCCCCCCTCCTTCNGCTTACTTTTTGTAGTGCTTTGATATTTCAAGCTGTGAGGGTTTTTTATTTGTTTTTTTGTTTCAAGGTCTCTGGCTCTTTGAAGAGGTGTGGTTTATAGAGTTAAGATAGCATGGTTGTGTTTTATGTCATTTGGTATTATCAGGCAACAATGCTGTTGGACTTTTTGCCAGTTGGCTATTAATTGTCAATTGAGATTCAGTTATGCCTAAATCTCTGTGTGTGTCACCCTGGATTTGTACCTTCATATGGATGATGCTTTGTTCAGATGCTCCCAGTCAGTCTCATCCATACCTTCCGTGTGTTCACCAAAAGAGGTTACATGTCCAATATTGGGGAATTCAATAAAGCACTGCTAACTGGGGGATTCTGGGAATTGAAATATACACATACCACTTTATAATGCCTTGTAATACTGCATCCAGTTTTGGTCACCACGATGTAAAAAAGATGTTGAGACTCTGGAAAGAGTGCAGAGAAGAGCAACAAAGATGATTAGGGGACTGGAGGCTAAAACATATAAAGAATGGTTACTGGAATTAGGTATGTCTAGTTCAATGAAAAGGACTGGGGTGACATGATTGCAGTCTTCCAATATCTCACAGGTTGCCACAAAGAGGAAGGAGTCAACCTCTTGTCCAAAACATCTGAGGGCAGGACAAGAAGCAATGGATGGAAACTAATCAAGGAGAGAAGCAACCTAGAACTAAGAAGAAATTTTCTGACAATTATCCAACATCATCTTAAAAATTTCCAGTGTTGGAGCATTCACAATTTCTGGAGGCAAGTTGTTCCACTGATTAATTGTTCTGTCAGAAAATTTCTTCTTAGTTCTAGGTTGCTTCTCTCCTTGATTAGTTTCCATCCATTGCTTCTTGTCCTTCAGGTGTTTTAGAGAATAGCTTGACTTCCTCTTCTTTGTGGCAGCCCCTGAGATATTGGAACACTGCTATCGTCTCACCCCTAGTCCTTCTTTTCATTAAACTAGACTAGTTTTCATTAAACTAGGCAAACTTTGGACCCATTTCCCACAGAAAACACCAGGAGCCACAAAAGCTGTGTCAGGTTTCCAAAAAATGCCCTAATTGATTCATGAATCTTGAGCCAAATTTCAAAAGAAAATTAGTCATTTATTAGGAGCATTTATTTTGGCAAGACCTTTTTGCAGTCAGATCTGAGCCTTATTTGAATTATAGCTGAACATTACCCCTGTTCCTTCCCTCCCCTCACTCTGTGTCATAAATCACATTCCCCACTGAGGTGCACCCCTCCCAAGTCTGCTGCGGTAATCTGAGATCTGACTCAAGCCGAAAGTACATGTGGAATGTGATCCCCCCCCTTTTCCTCACCATGGCAACTTTATGAGTTGGCATTCATTTCCAAAAGCAACCTGTGCAAAGCAAAAACAATTTGAGTACAGGTATAGGATTTACAGCTACGTCCTCACCCCCCAAGCTTGTTTGGATTTTCTGCATGGGATTTTGCTATAAGGCAATCAGCCTGGGTATTTCTACTCTTTAACCAAGATGCCTCTGACAAGGGGTAGTCCTTCCACTTGATTAAGTATTGGAGTTGTCTCCTGTGCCATCTTGAATCAAGGATTTGTTGCACCTCATAATGGGTTTGGCCCCCTATGACCACAGGGCCCGGTGGCTCCCAAGGTAGTGGTCTCAGAGTGGATCCGACCACAGGTTTTAAGAGGCTACTATGGAATACCGGGTGTATCTTCCATAGCAGTTGGGGCAGTTTAAATTGCACAGTGACTGGGTTGATGATCTTTACTATGGGGAATGATCCCATAAACTTTGGCCCCAGTTTCTTGCTAGGGAGTTTTAACCTCAAATATTTTGTGGAGAGGTATACCTCTCCCACCGGGAATGTCTGTTGCGGAGATCGGTGTTTATCTGCCTGTTTCTTATAGGTTTGTGCCGCTTTGGCCAGCTCTTTTTTGACATTCTCCCAGGTTGCTTTTAGCATTGACATCCAATCAGTCAAGCTGACTGAGGAGGGAGGATCCCTTGGATAGGCATTGGGATGAAGTCCATGCCGCTCACTACTTTGAATGGTGTTCGTCCCGTGCTACTGTGAACAGCATTATTGTACACGACCTCAGCAAAAGACAGAAGGTCTGCCCAATTGGACTGCTGATAGTTCACATAGCACCTCAGGTACTGCTCTACCATGGCATTCAGTCTCTGCCCTTCCATTGGTGCTCAGGTGAAAAGCCGAGCTAAGACCCTGGGGATGACCTAATGGACCGCAGGAACTCACTCCCGAACTTAGCCGTGAACTGGACCCCTCTGTGAGAATTCTTCGAGGTACTTCATNCACAGTAACTGATTCAGCAGGATTCAAAATAATAATAATATACAATACATGACCAAAAGCAGGTTTTTCAAGGTAGCAGTAAATACAAGCAGAACACAAGCAGTTTCACTTTCAGTTCTCAGCCAAGCCAGGCTCCTTCCTGTTTCCTTGTTGCTCACACAGCAAATTTCAGAGTCCAAATAGAGTCCATTGGCTGGCCTTGTTACCATGTGTCAGCTGAATACCATGGATGCTGGTAGGCAGAGGCAGCATTTTTTTCTTCTTATTTTCCTCCCCAAAACCTAAGGTGCGTCTTATACTCCAAAAAATACAGTACCTTTTTATATTTAACAAAAAAAGGGAAAATGTTAAGTGTGAAGTGTTCTTAAAGCTCCTCTCTTCTCACTACCTCCTTTATGTGTTTTCTCCCAGCTGAACAATTCCTGTGTCAACATTTTGGAGAAAGGGAAAAACCTGAACATTTCTTGAGTTTATGCAATCCCAAAATTTTCAGCTGTCATGGATTTTTGTTTAAAAACTTACTTTCCCCAGAACCATACAGTATCTGGGAAACAAAGACAGCCTGTGTGCTTCAGGCGTTGGGTTGATCCTGGTGGGGGTGGGGGAAGTGGACAGATCAAGACCGCCATTGCTGGATGTTTTAGAGGTGCTCTGTATCAGCCCAGTCTCCTTCACAAGATCACTGTGAAGATAGAAACGCAGGAATGTGGGCTTTCATGGTGCAACTATAAACATGACATCCTTATCTTGATGCTTGTACAGGTAGTCCTCAACTTACTAATGTAATGGAGCTTGATCTTACAATCATAAGTCAAGGCAGTCATAAAGAGACCAACTCAATTTTTCAGACTTTTTCATTTGCAGTCATTAAGTGGTCGTTAAATGAACCAATTGTTTGCTATGGGGCCTTTTTGCCAAAAAGTGGAAGTAAATTAGAATTTTCAGCATTGCAGTCACATGCCTGTAGGACACTTGAAATGGCCATCAAGGCGAGCCAGTTGCCTGGTGCCTGAAATGTAGTCACATGACTTGCAGCTGTCAGAACTTCAAAACCAGGGTGTCAGTACCTTTTGGAGGGTCTGTCGTAAACCACAGTTCGTTAGACAAGGATTACCTGTATTGCTGTAGCATGTCTTTGTTTTACCATAAGATGTCTTTGTTTTCTCCCTCCCTTTGTTGTTTGTCCCTTCTAGGAAGGCCTCCTCTCCTTTTTCGGCACCCCCACTTGGCAAACCATTGCTGTCTTTGCTGCGGGGNTTCCCATCCTATTCTTCATCCTCATCCATCAGTCAATATACTTGCTGTTCCCTCTCTCTTTCTATTTCCTTTTGTGGACAAAAGGAAATAGAAAAATGTGAAAAATGTCCTTTTCACATCTAAAACACTGAGTCCTTCCACTTTGTCCTGCCCACATTCCTCTTCCCCTGCCTTGCCACCTTCCTTTCCATTATCCTCCATTTCCAAAGTCCCTTCTCTTTCTTTTCCGGTCTCCTAACCTCTTATCCATCATTACTCCTACAACTGACAACAACACTTTCTTATCCTTTCTTCCATCTTCCAAACCGGTGTTAGCAGCTGCTTCAGTTCATCAGCCCCTTATCTCCAACTCATCACCTGCTTCCATTTCTGGTTCGCTTACCCTACCCTCTATTCATTCTTTTGTGTCATGTGATGCTCTTTCCTCCTCCCTAATTCAGCTATTTAAAGGACAACGGGAAACTTCGCTTAAGTCACAGAGCTAAGATTGGAGTTAAGTACTGTACCAACTCAGGACTGGACGAGGCGGCACCACCATGAGCAAATGTGTAAGTTTGGGGGTCTTTCTTTTTCGAATCAAAATTCCTAGCAAAGGCTTACAAGACGTAGAATCGGTTTCTTGGAGAGGAATTGGTGGGTTGTTGACTGACAGCCACAACTGTGGCTTTTCCTCTTTCTGGATATCGTTTGAGGGACAGCCGCGTTAATCTTCGGCAGCAAAAAAAATTACAAAGACTCTTGTTCCATTTTAAAAATTGTTTATTTTGCCATTGGGTTTGAAGATCAGACTCCACTCCCTTAAATATGTTTGTTGGCTTCTCTTAATTGTTTCTGCTGTGTTGTTGTTGTTATTTTGGTATAAAACCCCCATACTTTGTGCTTATTGCCTTCTTTTATTAATATTGAGTTTTATCAGCAAGAAACATCTTGAGCACACTGCACAGCTTATGCACACGCGATTAAATGGATGCTTGATATGTGCATATTTATTTTTGTGCATCCGCGCTCAAACTGAAGATGGAAGTTAAAATTATTTTAAATTATTGTTGGAGAAACTTTTTCTTTCCTTGCCAAAATGTTTTTTTTAGTAAACTTTGGCTTGGAAAGAGGACATCCTAAATTCACCCTTTAATCTGGATTATATAGATGTCCTTTTTAATTTTAATATTCACAGCATTAATCAGCCGTTCTGCCACCAAGTCCTAAATGTTTCCACCATGTCAGGTATTCGATCATCTTGATTCCGTTTGATGAAAGACAAGATGTTTTTAAAATTTATTTTAAAGAAGAGAATTCCAGAGAAATTGCCCTGCATGGAGTGAAGCATTGGCTTTTCTTTCGTTATGCAGAGATCAAGGGAGTGTGTGTGTGTGTATGAATATGTACATCAGGGGTGGGTTTCAACCGGTTCGTGGCGGTCCCTGCGAACCGGTTGGTCGGCGAACCCGGAAGTAAGTAACTTCCGGGANTTCACTTTAGCAGAGTTAACAGTTAGGGTCATCTAAAGGTTAGTTTCACTTTAGCAGAGTTAACAGATAGGGTCATCTAAAGGTTAGTTTAACTTTAGCAGAGTTAACAGTTAGGGCCATTGAAAGGTTAGTTTCACTTTAGCAGAGTTAACAGTTAGGGTCATCTAAAGTTAGCTTCACTTTAGCAGGGCTTAACACAACTATATATATTCAATACACCATGCTGCTGATGCTGATGCTGATGACGACAACTTCTATTCAATGAAGTCAGACTCTGGGTGCTTCTAGGGGCCATGTAGAATGGACCCCATCTTCCAATCTTGCACTGAATTATTCTATGTTCTGGCTGGCGTCAGCTTTGATGGTGTCCATCCACTGTGTTATTTAATGGCCTGGTTCCCTTTTACCACTAACTCTTAAGTTGAGATAGTTCTCAACTTAAGACCACAAATTGAGCCCAAAATTTATGTTCCTGAGACATTGCTCAGACATTTGTTAATTGAGTTTTGCCTCATTTCAAGACCTTTCCCTGCAAAAGATGTTAAGGGATTGCGGTTGTTAAGTTAGTAATGCAGTTGTTAAGTGAATCAGCTTCCCCCAATGACTTGGTTAGTCAGAAGGTCGCAAAAGGTGACCACGTGACCCAGGGACACTGCAACTGTCACAAATATAAGTCAGGTTGTTAAACCAGCAGGATGCCACCACTGCAATTACCATCTTGTTAAAACAATTATTAGGACAAACACAGACACAGGAACTAGTCAGATTTCCCAACTTCATTTCTTTTCAACAGAGATAAACTCTTTTGCCTTCCAAACAAAGCCAAACGAAGAGAAATTATCCCATCAATAGATATAGAATTAAAACGTCACCAAATAGAGGATTTAATTATCAAAAGCATGTGTTAAAACTGAAAGGCTCAGAAAGAATATATAAACTCATGTTTGGATCAGTGGTGAAATTCCAATTTTTTTACTACCGGTTCTGTGAGAATGGCTTGGTGGGCATGGTGTGGCTTGGTGGGCATGGCAGGTGAAGGATACTGCAACATCTCCATTCCCACCGCACTCTGGGGCCAGTCAGAGATGGCATTTGCCAGTTCTCTGAACTACGCAAAATTTCTGCTACTGGTTCTCCAGAACTGGTCAGAACCTGCTGNCCCTCGACGCCCAGCAGCAGCGCCGGCCACCTCATTACCCCACCCCCTTCCTCCTCTGCCGTGCTTTTGAGAAGCCATGAGGCCTTTTTTTCCTGCTCCCGCCCCCTCCACCGCCTTCCTACTAGCTCCCACGGCCTCACGGCTCCTCAAAAGCACGGCAGAGGAGGAAGGGGGAGGGATAATGTGGGGGCCAGCTCAGATGCTCTGCGTGGAGGGGGAGGCACCACTGCCATGGGAGGGGGTGCTGACGGGAGCTTTGGCGGCTTCACCTTAGCTGCAGCATCGAGCGGCAAATCCGGCAGTGCTGTTGGAGGAGGAGGAGGGGGCAGCAGATATTCTGGTGGTGGCGGGGGCTCTGGGGGTTCACTTCAGCCACAGAGCCGGGTGCAAGCAGCTAGGATTGGCCGCCCACAAAGGAGCTCCCTGGGCTTGCTTTGCTGAACACGGGGCAACTGATGTTAGTTTGAGCGGCCACGGCCGGCGCAAACTACTGTCAGTCGCTCCGTGCTCATCAAAACAAGTCTGGGGAGGTCCTTTGCGGGCGGCCAGTTCTAGCCGCCTGCAAAGGACTTCCCACATTTGCTTTGCTGAACAAGGGGCAACTGACGGTAATGAGCGGTGCAGCCGGCGCCTAGGAGGTCCTAGGAGACCGGCTGTGCCATGTAAGCTCTTGCCGCCATCCCCGCTCCCGTGCTAACCCTAGATTTTCTGAGGCCCCTCAGCTTCCGGAGCCTGTGACAGAAATCACTGCGCGGCAGTTAGAAACGGCTGCTCGGTGTTTTCTTGCCACATGCACGGCCGCGCAGCTGCGCACCTTAGAGGGAACAGTGTTTGCCAGATGCTGCTAATTGCTGACTATCATCAACCTAAAATTCTTCTGCAGAAGCTTTATTTTGTGTGCTGATGCTGTTGGCTTGCATGGAGGTCCAGACAGCTAGGGAATAACCCAACTTCCTGTTTATAACAAGTGCCCCACAGCTGCAACACCCACAGATTTAGAGGATATGATCTGTTGACATCCTTATAAGCAGTTGAGTTGCTTCAGGAAAATATTTTATGGCTATTGGTTGCCACAATCATGGTTTGGTTACTTGTGCGTGTAAGCACCATACCATATGGTCTCTTGGTCTCTTCATATATTATCTTTAGTGAAGCGTGCAAACCAGCACTTTGCATTTCCTGCATTGGCTGAGGAGAGCACATCTTTCTCCTTCTGTCTTGGACACTTTTTACAGAGGCACAATGGAGAAGGTTTAACAAACTGCATCCCTGTTTGGTTTGGCGGCATCAGTGCCTCAGATAGAAAGTCCCTACAGAGAGTGGTGAGGACAGCTGAGAAGATTATAGGAAGTTCACTTCCCATTATTCGGGATACTGCTTATAAGCGCTAGGTGCTTAGAGCTCAAAGCATTGTTAGAGACCCCACACACCCACTTTATGATCTGTTTCTGTTGCTTCCCTCTGGGAGGAGGATTTGAAGTATCTACAGCAGGTCTACTAGGTTCTGTAACAGCTTTGTTCTTTATGCCACCCATCTTTTAAACTCACAAGATTCATTTCTCTTGCCATGTACAATGTATGTATACATTCAAACTAGACTGTGTTGTTCCTCTGTGTCATATATGTATGTGTGCATGTGGGTATATGCATAATGGGTATCTTTTGAGAGCTGAATGCAATGAAATGTCCTTTTAATGTATTCTGGTTAGTGTACATTTAAAGTGATAATGAAATATTCTATTCTATTCTATTCTATTTTATTCTATTCTATTCCCATTGATCCATTCCATTCTCCAGTAAGAGAAACATTGGAGGAGAGCTATTTTTAATGTACTTTTTTTAAACCTTCAAGTTAATCTTCTGTTGCTGATTTTAAGCCCTCTGGTTGCCATAGAAACTGCCACAGCTCCTAGCTGTGTTCTCCTCAGAGACTTAATTGCATTCCAAGTTTCATAAACTTTCTATTAACCTTCACCTGGCAGTGAGACATGTGTGATGCCAGATAATGAGCTGGATTAATTGTCTGATATGATGGAACTCTTCTCCTCATCTTTACATTTCTTTCCTCAAATATCCTTCCTCTCTATCAAGTGAGATTTCATGTAAATACTTGCAAGGATGCGTCTGGCCCTTTCTCAAATGCCTGATGTCATGGCAACTGGCAGCAACATTCAGGGTGCTCAAGAAAGTTCACAATTGCAGTGCAGGAGGCCAGGCTTGATGTGACCCCTGACATGTCCTTGTGGTGGGTGGGAGGTTGTTTCATTGGTCTCTGGGTTCTTTTCAACAGTAGTGCTAGGATACACTGGCAAATTTTGGTCTCTCTTGAGAAGAACGTGGAAGAATGGATACGGATATCCTCTTTCAGGAT